CTTTTGCCCGAAATTTGCCGCCAAAATGAAATACCCCATCTAAGATTTGGTAAAAGATCTCCGCAACTAATGAGAACACGAAGAGAGAAGAAAGAGCTGTATAGAACGAGTCATAACTCAGATGTTGGAAGACCTAAGGATCCGAATAACTCTGAATTAAAATGTCTAAGCCGAATGTATTACCGGAAGATTATGTCACATACATACGATTCTAGTATATGGAAGCATTTTCAGGATCTTACTGGTAGAAGAAAGCCCAGTGATGAAGCCTGAAAAAACGTCTGTGCGCCAAAATAGCCACTAGTGTGCAAGCTTGGTAACGTTATCCTTCCATGTTCCGCACATACAACAGAATTCAGATCCGGATTTTTATTTTGAGGATGGAAGGCTACAGATCGACATTTATACTTTTCCAGCGGATCTCTGTGTTCATCCACCCCCTTCAAACGAGAGAATCGATGACATGGACACCACTAATTCTGTGATTTGGTCCCAGACGTTCACTACCCGAAACGAGAACCAGTAGTCTATGAAGACCACATTCGTCCTTCGCTTTTGTATTCTCCTATTCTTCCAAAATTTCCAGCCAAGTGAAAAGAAAACGAGTGATGGGTGGGGTCATTTCCTGATATTCCGCACCGGATATTTATGTTCCTGTCCCGTCTGTGAGAGGACATAGCGAAGACGTTCTACCCCTGAAATCCCTTTTCGTGGGCCAGGTTGACCACCGTGGGGTGATGCTTGTGTCTACTCTCCAAAGTCTTTCCACAAAGCTTGGAACACGTTTCTAGTGGTGGTTTGCTACTTGTGGAGATTTTATCGGCACAGACCTGACCAAGGATGCGCATAAGATGGCGAAAGTATCACCACTTCTTTCTGTAAACGCCTAGTGTCCTAAAGCTCCAGGCTGCTACCAGTGAATAATGTGCTGTGGTTTCCGAATCACTATCATTTGAAATATATTATGATTATCATCATTGTTATCATTAACTTACTGTGACTCCCTGGCCATTATTAGTCAATACTTAGGGTTAATGAGTCCTGCCAATATCCATTAAAGCTAATTGCCGGTGACTCCGAAACCCTTCAGCTTCATGAGCGTCCTGCAACGAGGCATCTTACTGAACGTCTTGCTGAAGTCTGTGGAAATAACATTTATAGGTGCCCTACCATCTTTAGACCTAGATCAACTTACTGCGACTGTGAAAAGGTTCCTCAAGCAAGATAAAGTTCTGACAGGATAATTTTGCAAACGATACAACTGAATGTTGTTTTCCGGGTGGACAACTATCGCTTTCTCGATTACTTTCCAAGATTTCGACCTCAGTAACGTCGAGCCGATTGGTCTGCAATTCGGCGAAAGCTGCCTAGATCCTTTCACGCGTATAAGTGTGACTGTGACATCCTCCCAGAATAGGGGATTGTGCCTTCACTGAAAGGCAGTCCAAATATAATAGTCAGTGAGCCTGCAATGTACAGTATGAAATCTTTGAGCAACTTTGAGTGCAGGCCATCCCGTCTCGTTGGTTTTTCGAGATCCAGTTAACTTGGCGTCTTGAATACATGGCTTTAGTTAATATCCACGGAGTTTATTCTGTTTGACGTCGGTGCTTCTACTGTTGAATTAATGTCCACTGAAGGTTTCTGGGTGAATATGCCAACCTAATATCTGATTTGTCGCTACCATCTCCAATTCAATGGTTGGTTTTTGTCTCCTTAATTAGGGTGTGTTTACTATGATATATTTTATGGTCACAGTTCACATAAGATAGCCTCATGGGTGTTGCATTGCAGTGTAGGTAAGATGTGTTTCAAAGTATATATCGGATTGGCGGGTAGCGGAGATATATTTGTTCCTGACTTCTTGCAATGATTCTTCACTTCGGGAAAACCAAAGTGGGTAGTTAGGGTCCAACACTTTTTCTTGTGTTGTGTCAAGCTTTGGATTTCGCGGTTTACCCACGGAAGAGAATGGTTCCGCCCCTTTGGGACGGTTCATAGAATAAACAATTGAGTCAGTTGTGCATTGGACCGTCTGAAGGAGCACCATGCACCCTTAACTTGGGCCTCTAGACTGCCTATTCGGTCATCCGGAGAAGCCAACAAGTTAGTAGTTGCTTTATTCTCTTTCCACAATTATCTGGGGCATTGGCCTGAGACGTGGCAGCTGCCGTGAACCTGAGGATGATAACGCCATGATCTCTTTTACAGAGGGCTGCTTAATGCCGAATGAAACTAACGTGATCTTTGTCTAGAACTGCTGGCTGTAGCATATGGTTGCCGCCCCCAATAAGCCGTCTAGAAGCCAGAGAAACTGATGTATCCACAAATCTATGATTAAACAAAGTCTATGATGATTCTGTCATATAAAGTAAACACTTTGTTCTCAACCTATAAGTATGGCGTGAGAGAAGCAGGTTTTCGGACGTCATCAAAGTGACGGTGGTAGACAAATCCAAAACATGTGAACTATAATGAGTAACACAAAAGTGAGGACAGTAAACTCTATCATAATATCAAAAGTGTTTGCAGATTGTGAAAAGAACAAGAAAGTATCACTTTCCAATACCTGCACCATCCTTTTTTCCCACCAGTAACGTTAGACTCGCTAGGCTCTTCCTAAAGTTTGGTGGGTCTATAAGTGAGCGTACCCCACGTAGAAATGCTAAACTTACTGGTACCTGATAAAATGACCGACCGCAAAGTGGGTGCAAGGCTGGTTGATTCATCCACGGCCCCTACTACTTAGCTTCTCCTGCTGGTAGATATTCGGATGACAGCAGTCTCAGCTGACCCTGATTTCGTAAGCATGGATGTTGCCTCCTTAAGACTTGGATGAGGCTACTGTGAAGGTAGGATGTAATAATTCATGTGCATCCACAGAGATTTCCATCAACAACTGGTTCTTCGCGGGGACTCAGGCAAGCAACACTGAGCCCGGTAACTCACCTACAAATGCTTCAACGTGGTGTAGGGCTTCCGTCTCAAAATCTAGCTACTTGCCTTCCACACAGTCCAATGTGAAAATAGAAGGGCAAGTGAAAGTCTCTCCCTGTCATATCATTTCTAGGCGGCGAAGGATTGGTGGTCTGACTGCAAGTACATCAGAACATTTTTTGACACAAAACAATCTTCAGAGTGTCTGTCTGGCTACCCGTGGGAAAGAAAACAGTCGTTATGTCACCATGCTTTAAAAAGGATGTCGTTTCGCACTTATTCCCGAGACATCCAGCTAAAAAGGCGGTCAGAATGAGTCTCAAGCCATATCTAGTTATTCTTAGTGCACCATATCTTCATTCCGTGCAGCACGAAAGGATTGATAGGATGCGACTATCACATTGTTCAGCCCCTTTCTTATCCCGAGCAATCACTTTCAAGATATTGTTCGTAGCCATAATGCTGTCTTTTCTGGACTGGCCATGAGGTAGCTGGCATAAAAAAGGCGGTAATTACTGCTCAACACAGCTTTCGGAGCGATGTTTCCCGTGCCACCAACTCGGTAACCGCCTGAAGTTACAGAAGATCAGTCTACATTGTCTTCTTTAACTCGCAAAAGCATTTGACCCCGTTTTGCACAGCATCCTGGTCCCTGAAATTTCATCTGCCGACGTCAATTAACCTCTGCTTTCCTAGTTCAAAGCGTTTTTATGAGGCAGAAAGTTCAGCACTAAAAAGAGTGGAGCACGATCTGAGCTGATCGCATCGAAATCCGGAGTATCTTAGGTAGCAATCCTTGGCCCAATCCTATTTTAGTGGAGGGTGTTAAACAGGGAAACCAGTTCCAGAATGATGCAAAATAACCCGCTACAACTAGAACTCTACTCACTACAGAATGGGTGGAGCTCCGAGGTGGCGAAGTGGAAAGGAATGTACATGGAAGCCATGAAGGAAGGGAAGCAAAATACGAACACAAATACAGGTTGAACAACCATGCCATCGCTACAATGTCTCCCAACACCCTGAGCTCCAGCTAGCAACTAGAAACAGCAGAAGAGGGATAACATTTTACATTTCCTGGAAAATCGGTGCTCTCGCACCAGGTCACTTTACAACAATCTTGAAAATATGTACCTGGCATCGCCTGTAAATACTCAGTGCAGTAGCATTCCGAGCTCTCAAGTAAGACTCTGGAAAGTGGAGAGCACAGCGATCAATTTAACTGGTGACCTGGGTGTGGGATATATCCAGGCATTCTGTGGGATTCGAAATCTATCCACTTTCAGCAATCATGGAAAGAGGAGGGATTTTATTATGACTCATGTGATCATCCAACAGGCGAGTCACGCGAACGAACCAACCTTACCAGCAGCGTGATAGTAGCCACAAGGGAATCCCATTAGAGTGGCACACAGGAAAGCTAGTAGCTGACTGAGGTCGAACCCGTTTTCCTTAACATTATGTGTCAAGTTGGATGACTTACTGCGTAATGACGTTACGGAGTCCTTTTAAGGGTGGGACAATGTTAGGTTGAATACTTTACCAGTGACGTATTCAGGACACCACCAACCTTTCCAACTGCTAAAAAAGTCTATCAAACTCATCAAGACCCATTTCTGCCTTCATTCATATTTTCCCCGCTACTTATTCTGATGTCAACTATCTTTTAACTCTCATCTTACATATTTTTAAACTTCATAAATGTCCTAAGTGCCTATTTAACTTTACTATCTTATTCTTATTCATCCATACGTAAAGACGGGAGTAATAAAGCACGATAATCCTTCCAGCAGCCTTCAGCCTTCCCACTATCTCAATCGACAAACTGAGAATGCAAATCCACAGAAAATAATCACCTCACCTATTCTGAAATCAAGAAAGCAGTAAAGATTTCTTTTTCACAACAGAATCGAAGCCATATAACAAGAACAGGGTTCCGAATTGGACTAGAGAGATCAAAACGCAACACTTTCTTGTACTGAGACTGCAATTGGACAAAATAGCTATTGTATGCATCGGTCATAAGTTTCGTCTTCCGGAGGCGGGATTTTCAAGTCAGGAAAATGTCGAGTACTAGCTCTCGGAGTTCACGTCGCAGAAATGATGAACGGACGTCAGCGGATTTGTTAAGCACTGGGACTGCACATGAAAGAACTGGTGAGTCGAGTCACTCTCGTTCGAGGTCACGTCGTACTCGGGAAGGCCAAACAGAGCCTACAAGCAATGCAGTAAGTAGATTACTTTGTTTTTTTATTTTGAAAGTATGAAGTTAGCAAAAGAATGTGGTGTTTCAACTTGAGGTTTTCAGTTCGTTAGTTTAAAAAGATGGTTTTACCATTCTGATACCTAGTGCTCATGTTTTTCTATGGCTCCTTGTTTTTTCCACAGAAGCTTACTCGAACGCTGGTATTTTATTCTTTGTTGGTGATCAACATCCAAAATTAAATCGTGCGAGCATAGGAAACTGAGTTATGACTCACGTCTAGTTCTTGGGGCTTGGTTCTTGCTGTTCGGTTTGCTCCTGAAGTGGACAAGCGAACCTCTTCTGCTTTCCTGCTTTAAGCTCCGATGAGATGATTGTTTTTGTGGGTTGGTAATCATAATTTGTAGGTTAAGAAAATTAGAAAACTACAGGTTGCTGTAAAGACTAGCGGTCTTTCGTGACTTTCCGTATATGTGCCTGAATAAAAATAGCACGATAGTGGGTAAAGGTATATGAAAAGGTAAAAGTAGATAGCATGGGTCTCGTTACCAGACAAGAGTTAGTAGATTATGTATGTGTATCAAGAGATGGTGAGTGGTAAGTAGGAAGTAGTGGTGGTCTAGTGAGGTCAATAATGTCTTGTGCACGTCTGTAGTAAGCCATACGAAATGACGTGACTGTTCAGCTGTTTTTTAAATGATGAGTCTACTGAGGGGGCTTTGATTCATCCCGTGGTAAGGCATTTCATAAAGCGTATACTTTTAAGGAGAAAAAGTTAGACCTGAGTCGGGTGTTAGTTGTCTGACGTACCATCCTGATGGGCTTCCCTCGTGATGGCTGCCATGTTGTAGGCGATGTTAGTTTGTTCACGTGACTTTCCTGGTGAGTGATCTCGTAGGTCATAATGTCACACCTCTTTCTGCGACAGCCTAAAGTGAATAGATTTACAGTCTTTCAGTGTATGCCTTCTTCCTTAGTCCTACAACCGATTTTGATGCAGATCTAGTATTTCCTCAAGGAGATTGGGGTCTCACTTGAGTTTTCGGGGTGTTACCGAATTCAAGACCTCCAGATGTGACCGTACGTAGTATTTGAAAACCGTGACAAACAGTTCAGAGGTGAGCACCAAGCTGTCTACGCAGTAAGTGTAGGTGGCATCCGTTCCGGCTGCCATTTCTTTGTAGTTAAAGCTGGTGTTCAGGGTGTCCGAAAAGTTGAGCCCCAAATCTTTTTCTGTGGATTCTCAACTTGCGTTAGAATTTGACCGTCCTTTCTTCGTGGATATTGATGTGCGTAACTCTGTACTTTCCCAGGTTGAGACTCAAACCATTTTCCGACGACCAGGGTTATAGTAGCTGCAGGTCATTTTGGAGTGCTATTCAGTCGGCCTCCGTTTAATACCCTCCGAGTTTTAATGTTATCAGCGGTGAAGAGGACAGGTGATGAGATTTTGTGAGGTGGATTGTTGATGAACAGGAGGAACAGAAGTGTTCACAGGATTACTCCTAGGGAAGCCATTGATGTCGATAGTCTCCACTCCGACCGTATTCTGTTTACTTTGGTGCTGAACTGTCTTCCTTCTAGGTATGCTTTGAACCAAGAAAGTAGAGGTGCACTAGTGCCAACTGACGCAATCTTTTGAAGTAGGATTGAGACGGGGACACCGTCAAGTGCTTCAGCTAGGTTGAGAAAAGTAACATGTATTGGTTTTGTTGTTCCAGACAGAAGTTCAGGCGGTCATTAAGTTGGTGGTACATAAACGACCACTCTAAAAAGCCGTACTGAGCAATATAGGTGGTGTTTTCGTCGTTGAGGAATTCCCACATCTCGTCAATTATCAGGCTTTCTTATTCTTTGGATAGTATAAGGAGTAGAGGAATCGATCTGTATCTGCAAGATTTTCCGGTCTCCCTTGAAGATGAGTGACCAGATCGCTCACTTCCATTCTTTAGGGAGTCTGCACAACTCTAGCGAGTGCTTGAAGAGGTTGCAGATTGATTTCGCGTCTACCTCAAAGCAGTTCTTTCGAACTACCGGTTTCAGGTCTTCTCAGTCAGGGGACTTGCCTGAATGGAGCCTGAGTAGTTTTTCCAATACTTTTTTCTCTGTGATGGGGATGTGGCAGAGGTATTCGTTATTTATCGCCTGATCAGTGTCGTACCGCACCGTTGCAGATTTAGTCTCAAAAGTACTAAGTTGCGCTTCGAAGTGTGAGCTCAGTGTGGCAACCACTGACACTAGAGGTCTTAACCTTTGCCGTCTCTCTTCCTGCATGGTGGGTCTTGGTTTACTCTCACACATGCTACCCATGTGGTCTTTCAAGTTACAGCATGCGTTTGAACGTCTGTGAGTGGGGCAAGCGAGTCTGATTAGGTAGCAAGTAGTCTAGGGGTGGGGATGAACGTCAGGTGTTGGTTTCGGCGGTCTACTGATGGTGTTAACCGGTAGATTGCCCCGGTCAACTTTATTTGAAAGCCATTGCCATTACTGGACATCATGGAGGTATCGATCTTTAGCGGAGCAGTTACTTGGCAGTTTTGGGATATCTTGTAAAATCATAATGACGTTTGTTTGGATTCCTAGGTGCGAAATTCCCTTCTTCCCCTCCCAATGACCATGGTTTGTCAGGCTTAGACATGCTAGGGGGAGTTGGAAGACGGTTCATGGGGACCGGACAAAGACGTCGCACCAGTCCATGAAGTCTCTTACCGTCGGTCTGAGTTGGTCGGAGATGTAGACTGTCTGGCTGGGGTCCTCGAGACGAAAGGAATCGGTGGCTGAAAGCTCTTGGTGACATAGCTGAAAACCGGTCACAATGGCGCAAATATATTCACTCCTTTACATCTAAAGCCTGAATATTCACATTTATCTGTCATCAGATTGTCTATTCTCTCACACTACTTTGCTTTGTTATCACTTCTTTTCTATTCATCTGTTCTTTGTATACTACTATGAAGTGTAGCAACTTAAGCCGATATACTTGTCTGCGAGGTTCTACATTGATTTAGTCGGTCAATCAGTTGGGTTTTGCAGGTGTTGACAATGTCGTCAGTATGAGAGAAGAGGGTTATCTTCGGCTTCTTCCGTGGTGTCCAGAGATACTCATAATGGTGGTTGTTTGTCTTGGCTACCTCAAGAAAAGCGACACTCGCGTTTCGAGTCCTAGTATTTGACAGTAGTCGACCCATGTTTGATTGTCATACATCGATACATCGACGTTAAAGAGGATGATCGAGTTGACCCTTCTGTTGCTTGCGTTCGTCATAGATGACACTCCCGATTTCCCAGTGGGTTTTTTGTGCACTTTTTCTGGTTGTTTTTCATTCTCAGTTCCTGAGACTTTTAGGCCGTGTTTCATCAGGGGTCCAACGGTATCCTCCATGTGTTTGACGTTCCCTGGGTCTGGGTAGGGGACCTAAAGTGGTCTTCGTGCGGGGTGTTGTATATATAGATACATTTGTTTTCGGATTCTTTTGTGTTATCGTTTGGTGTTAACCCTACTTTGTTCGGTGAGGTTAGTGACTTTTATGTAATGGAGAGTAGCTCTTTAAGGCCCTTCATATGCAGTACGGGAGGTTTCTACATCCTGGACAGATGTACCAGAGCCATTTGCATGGTTGTCTCTCCATGAAATTATAGTACTGTTGGGGTACTTTGCTGTCACAGTGGCAATGTACCCATCGGTGACATAAGTGGCATGCCAATGCCTCGTCGACTACTGATACGAATTTAATGATAATACTAGTCATTAGACGTGGTACAACCTACCTTCCTCAGAAATAGTGCTATAGTTTGAGGTGAACTGCTTGTGGCTACCTTATTTCTGCCCTTTCTATTCCATTTACTCTTTTTAGGCGTAATTTGAGCCCCCCCCTCCCAGGAGTGAAACTACTTTGTGACGTAATGAAGCTAGTATGCGTCATATGTGGTAGCTATGGATATCCTAGAAACAGGGTGACTATTTCTTTAGATCATTCTGCTTTACCTCTAATTGGCTGCGGATACAGTTTAGTGTTTTTTCGGGAGTCATTGTCCCTCCAAGTGTACAGTCGCGTTATCCCCGTCAACGCCTTAGATCTACCGTTTGGGACCGATATGACACTACTATAAAAATACATTAGTAGTGGTAGAGAGATCAGAAATTGAATACAGTGGGAGGACAGTATATAAAGGAAAACAGTTTATGCTGGCTAGCCTTCAGACACTTGTCATTTAGTTCTCTGCACTTGGCCAACGAGTTCAACCGTGAGCCCCAGGTGCTTATGTGAACCAAGAAAGATGTTTCCTGCGTAATGACCTCCGAAGAAAACCGAAAGCCAAGGCAGGTGGGCAGTTGAAGCAACCAAGAATCACTGACAGGAAGTAGACTGATGGGTTCGGAGAAATAACATTGCTGGTTTTCTCCGGTTGACTTGTATGTTGAGGACTACGAGGTATTCAAGTACATGCAACTAAAGAAGTGCCGAAAAAGACTGGTTTGGATAGATGGAATATTCCAAATGAGGGTTTCCCAATGTAGAACAACCCTAAGTAGTAGAAACTAACAGCTTACATCACTATCAGAAGCGCACGCTCAAAATGTGGTGTGATACTTCGACCTGATACTAGTGTATTTTCGTCCCCTTGTCAAACAGATTACAGAATACAGATATAAGACAAGTAAATCGAATATTCAGTATCATGTCCACAGAGTGTGGGTACCTCTGTGAAGATTTACTTTCTTCCGAGATATGTCTACCAAAGAAGAAGAAACAACACGTTCGGTCAGTAAACGCCACATACAGAGCAAAGTCTCGAAGCTTGTACAACCGAGATTTCCCAATTTTCTGATAACTTCGTACACAACCGATCATGAAATGGTACGTAGCTCAAACCCACTGTTAAGCATTCAAAATGTATGTGTGACCTAACTACTACGATTGATCTACTCCTGATGGCCATCTAGGTTGACTTGGAGTACGCAGACGATATTTTCCTGCTAGGTAGAAAAACTGACAAAGTGTAAATCCTTCTAAACGCCTTGCACAGAAATCTATGCGTTTTGCACCTATCAAATGTGAGATAATGCTTCAGGAGTGGTCTTCAGCTACTTCCAGTTTACGGAAAGGGAGTGAAGAGGTGCAATGCGTTGACCACTTCACTTACTTGCGGTATCACGTCAACTCGAACGGGCTGGTTGCTGACGAAAGCGCAGCTCAGATACAGAAAATTCGTTTGATACTTGCCAACTTTGGCGCCGACTGGTGGAGTGTCTGGCTAGATAACGACTAAACCGAGATTACTGAATAGATGTAACCTTACTTCCTTACTTCAAAAAAGGAATGGATTGGAGTGGATTAATTGGTCTAACGTGACATACCAAGAGCGTTTACGATAACGAATCTATTTCGTTTCATTATCGTCAAACGGACAGAATCAATGTAGAACTTCGTACGAAAGTACATCGGTTCAGGTTGCCAAACTTCACAGCAGCACACAAAGACCAAGTGGATCGAAAAAGATTGATATCAAAGTAGACAAAGGTGGATGGGAGGAAACGAATTCGCGGATAAACGTTAGGGGAAAAATTCAAGCCTGTGGTGTACGAGGTATCTATTTGGGGAAAAACATTACCATAAGATCCCTCAACTGACGGAGTCCATCATTGTCTTAAAATATGCAGCTGGTGTCTGCCCCCAGTAAGTGTTCCTGGCGTCCAAGATCTAGCGTAAAGAGAGCATAGATCTGGTCTATGCATCAATGGTTAGATCTGAAAAAATATCTGGTTTCGTATTTCCAAGCTCCAGTTAGTCGTCGAATGATTACGGAGCCCAAAATTTTGAACTGTTGATTGAACCGATTATTTATGGTTGCCGCAGGCGAACTTTCTTTAAGACTAGGATAATCAGTGATTGCTACCAGTTAGAGTGAATGTCTGGTTCCCATATGTCACCTAATAATTGCCGTAACCAATAACTCTGAACCATCGTCCGCACATACATGACCGATTGCCCATCATTTCAGGTTGAGCTTGTTATGATTATACTGCACACTAAGTATATGTGTTGGTTTAATTGACCATGGAAAGCGCTTGGCTATACACTTTTAATGGAAGGTTCTTCTCAATAATTATTGGTTCATATGGTGGTCAAATTTTACTTGGGTGATAATCCCAGTTACCTTATGCATCAGGGAAATGTTAAAAGTCGTGAATGTGATAACTAAATAATAAGCTGTCGCTTTTCAGTATTACAAACGACTTGCCTACTTTTAATTTAATCCACTTTCGTCACAGCCAGAAGTGTTCATTTCACTTTCATCAATGATTATACTTAGATAACTTTAAATAATTGAGTGCATCTCACTGGTACCATATGCGTTAATCATTGATTTGAAACTAACCTGAACTTGAGAAAACCTTAGACAAATCCAGCCTTTTTTGTGGGATTGTTTTATCACATTTTCTGGTGAAGAATAGGACATGAGTTTTTTCTTCATTTCAGAAAGGGCATCTAGGAGGCATTGCTTGATATGTTTCATACTGAGCTATCTCATACAAAGGTAAGGTGATGAAAAATGCTGTAAAAGTAGTATTGTTCTCAATTTATGCACAATCTGTAGTCATCGGACAAATATCTCAGATACAGTGCAAAACAGCTTCATTTGTTAACCTAATCGCAACGTAAAAGGATGTCAGCTACTCGCTAATCTCGGACGTATTAGTTATGTTTATAAGAAATTCACTAACATGTTGGTTTTTTTCTGTCGATTTCTTGTATTATGGATTTTATTCATTTTTAAGATATCAAATCTCAATGTGTGCTTCTTTTCAAGGAACCCACGTCTGGTCTTCGTACATCCGAAGTGGAACCCGGAAGTCCTTTGTCGTATAGTGACATGTCTAGTGTGGCCACTGGAGTCGGCGAAGATATTTTAAGCTCGGTCAGACCTGGAGTCAATGATGAGTTGGCCGTTCGTGCTGTTTTATCTCAAACTGGACCGCTTATTCCTGCGACAACAGGTGCAGCTGGTACTACTGATGCATCAACTGCAAGTGGACCTCAGGTATCTACTCCATTCATTGGGTAATCTGTTAGTCCTGTGTTTATTTCCTTAGTGCCGTTTACTATATTTTTTGTGGTAATGGTAATAATGTTAATGTATCTCATCAACTATGCTCAGTTTTGTTCGCTAGACAGTGAACTACACCTATTGTGTGAGGGGTGATGATATTACCTGGCTGCACAAAGCTCCACAGGCGGATTGGAGTTCGGGTCCACAATCCACTAGTTAGAAGACAATGAATCATAGTTCCTATTTTCTTAAATTTCCTATAAAATATGGTATCAGTACTGCATTATAAGCATATGCTTTCTCTTATCTGTCTTGGAATCGTTTTCATACTCATTATAATTTCTTGAGCTCAATTGTCGAGGTACATTTTAGTGTTCGCTTTCTTTGTCAGGGTTTTATGTCGTGGCAAACTATGTTTTCGCTCATATAATCATCATACAAGAATGATCTAACACGTGGAATCTTTAGTTTTCGTTTTATCGTTGATTCTCTGGAGCAGTGCAGTTGACAATAGACAGCGAGACAACAGCAATAAAGTCCGTCTTGGGACATTGTATTTCTGTGCAACACGTTCACATTGTGATACTATATTTGAAAACATCCAAGCTTCAGTCACTTTACTAGTGTTCCATGTCACTAAACATCAGTGATTGCTTATTTGACTGTTATGTAGTTAGTGTTGCTTCAGGCTAACTATCTGTCTTTAGCCTACCTGTCAGCATAAAAACCAACTTCATAGCATCAAACTGTTACTACAAAAAACAAACAAAGCAGTCAGCGTTGTTCCTCAACTCTTTGGTTCTATCTACGCTGATAGCACCGTGATTTTTAGAGACTGTAGATGTGCATCTAGATGTCCTGTGATCGCATTTTCTGTTGAAATGAAAATTCATGTTAACAAAACATGCGTATGAAAGTGGTAAGAAGTGACACATAGTCGTACTATGAAATGTAAAATGAAGAAGTTTAGCTCAGGATGTAGACATTCAGTATTTCAGTTAATAGTTTAAAAATAAAAGAAAAAGATAGTTGTATCAGTTCCTTAGTGAAGTTCATCGTCGACAGCAGAAAGTCGTAAGACAGGGCGGGATGTTATTATCTTTAAGGTCAATCCTTTTGATACCTTAAAGTGGCTAAAAAGGTGGTCATTCTAGAGAAAGACTTGAGTGTTTTCACATCCCTGCTCAACCGGCTGTGTAACTGCACTCAAGGACTCTCAATATAAAGTGTACGCAATATAAGCGCAGTTACTTTTTGCCTCATGACTTCAGTTAACCTTATTGGTATGATAGGATCTCGGGGAACAATTGACTAAGCTAGTAGGGCTTGGTTATTGCGGTAAGCAACCTTGGTCACCACCTGAAATCTCTCTATGTAGCACAAACTAACTTTTGAGATTGACGAAACATAAGTTTATTTTTCACTCATCATCATCAATATCGTAGTAAGACCAGGCATTGCTATATAACGGTCCAAGTTACCACACCTCATACCAACACATCAGGCGAGAAAGCACACAATGAAAGGTTAAGTAATAGAGAAGAAAGCATTCGAACGTGTTAAGAAGTCGCGATAAGACAACAAAGAGGCATAAAAAAAATACTGGATCCAGTATAACAATTAAGATGAGCATAATGTGTAGATATATCTACGCCACTGACATCTATTCTGATGTTATATGTCACTTAGAGTCTCCTACCACTGGTTTATGTTGTCATGTGGACCCCGACCGGGAAGTCTATATTTGCCTACGCGGCTCAGAACAACAGTCAAAGACCTCATGCAGTCTGGGCACCCCGAACCTTTTTTTATCCTGATTGTACTTCAGTTAACATTGCGCGACGAGACAGATGATGATTAGGTATGCGTAATACATGTCCCAGCTACCTCAGTCGATGAAGATTCACAACGTCAACAAATCTTCCTCTCCTCTCTAAAACTCTACACCTGACTTCTATATTACTAACGTGATGACACGACGTTAGCCTAATAAGAAAGTACCTTTATCGATCATGCGAAAGCTCACCTTTTGAAATAATTCTTGTTACCTGTTTCTTAACTTATTTCAGACGGTAATATGGGGTACTGATGTTAATATCGCCCAAGTGATGTCAAGATTTAAACACTTTCTACTGACATACATTCCTTCAGAATTAACGGGTCAACCAAATCTAACTACAGGTCAACCAATTGATCCCGAAAGGCCTCTTTATTTACAAAGAATGGAAGATCTAGCAATATCAGGTTCAACTGCTTTAGATATTGATTGTGAACATCTTCGTTCTGCTAGACCAGAGTTGTATACACAGTTGGTGACTTTTCCAAAGGAGGTTATTCCTGCATGTGATGCTGCTGCCCATGCTTTATTTCTGGATCGCTTTCGGGAAGTGCAGCTGGAAAGACCAATACAGGTAACGTGAATGTTCCAATGATCAAGTACTTTTTTATGAGGAAAATTATCTTTAAACACTGACTAGATTGTTGGAGACAGTACTTCGGTCAGTGTCTGCAGCTAGTGTGGGAATAGTAGTTTCAGTTATTGAATATCGTATCAGGAGTGATATCCAGAAGGTTAGATTTCCTATAACCTGTTTTCAGTAGACCTGCTTTTTCTGAACTAGGCACATGCTATCCTGAAGGCTCAGTTTTATCCCTGAAAGGTGGAACCTCTTTACTACATGCTAGAGTTACTTTGAATTGAGGTGGTGGGATGTTTTTCACAAACACTTCTAATCGTGATTATCCTAAAGTGCGTACATTATAAGCTTTTCTTATTACTAATAAATCACTGGCGTTTTACAAGTGTGACCCGTTTGGTTCATATTTTGAAAGGAATGCTAACTGTTATTGTTATTGTAAGATATAAATGTAAATTAACATCTAGACAATCCATCTTTAATTCTAGTTGGTTATTTCTTGTATACTTTCTTCAGATTCGACCATTCAACTGTGCACGTTCCCGGGATTTACGCAGTCTTGATCCTGATGACCTTGACCAACTTGTAACTGTTACAGGACTTGTAATACGATTATCTCCACTCATACCTGAAATGATGCGTGCGGAATTTAAGTGCGCTATTTGTAGTGCAATGACATCTGTTCCTTGTGAACGCGGACGTATAGCGGAACCCGAGGCTTGCATACGTTGTCATTCGGCGCATACAGCTCAATTACAACATAATCGATGTCTGTTTGTGGATAAACAAATGATTAAACTACAGGTTTGTTCACAACCGCTGTTATTTTAGTGTTGTAATTTTATGTCGCTCACAGGATGTTTATATCAGTTTTTGTTTTATTCGGACATTATAGTTGTAAGTATTACAGTGCACGTAATGTTTGTGAAGCACTAAAGTTACTAATCCAGGTGTAATATTGTTCAAGGGGTTCTACATATGTTTTTATCTATTCTATTTATGTATTCTGCTTTCTTGAATCCATATATAGGAGTCGCCGGAAGATATGCCTGCCAGTCAAACGCCACACACGGTTCTTATGTATGCTCATGAAGAACTTGTTGATAAAGTTCAACCTGGCGATCGAGTCGTCGTCACGGGTATTTATCGTGCTATACCTTTACGAATGTCAAATCGACAGCGCACACTTAAAGCAGTTTATAAAACCTACATAGATGTCCTTCATTTCCTGTAAGTTGCAATCTCTTTCGTTTTGGTTAAGAATATTGACGATTGTGAATACACAATAGTAAAATGTTTGGGCCTTTAGTGTTACTATCATGGAATATTTATTTTGTTTACTCATTTACAGCCCAAACTTGATACAACGTGGACACAGTAGTGTGCCAAGAAAAGTAACATATTGACAGAAGACATAAAAGTGTTAGAGGAAAGGAAAAAACAAGTATGCGATTAAAGAGATTATAATGGGAGCGATCTTAAGAATAAATCCTAGGAAACATCCATCTTCCTCGTTTTACTTTACCGTAACAGAAAAAGCAAAATCTGCAGTGTGATCATCACTGGCTTAAAGTCTGTGGTGTATCTGAGACTGTCTCGAATCAGTCAATTGCTTGATCTCTTAGATTCCGTTCAGGGAGTCATGGTGCACCAGCAGATGCTAACCAAACATAACTATACATCATTTCATGGTACTGCGACGTTATACGCTCATCATGTCTCCACTATTTTCAGCCACTCCCAGACGTAGCAAACAGTGAGCGATATGATAAGTCCTAAAACGGCATGCATGCCCTATTCACTGAAGTTAGTGTTTAAAGATGGTCTCACTCAGTGAATTAGCAGTTCCATCACGCCTAAACACATGCCGCTGGAATTTGGAGTTACATACGTGGTGTATCCACTGAATGCATGTATTTCTATGAAAACAATACTGAACAAACATAATATCATTGGTTTTCCTCAGCTCTGAGAGACCAGGCACAAAGATGTGTCCGTATCCAATCTCTGTGCACCCGACATTTTAAGGCTACACAAATTTGATGATACCGAAGGTGACGCAGATTGGCGTATACCTTCATAGACTTTCATATACGAGAGAAAATCTCATTTGTCACATTACCAGGACTCACACAAATACGTGGATTTACGAAACTGTCGAATCCTTTCAATGGTTCACCGTTAAGGGTAAGCACAGATACAGACTTCTACCAATCTTGTTAAAGCATATAGTGAAAGAAGCAAGAAAGATACGAAGGAAGGAATGTCTATTGTCAACAAGTGGGACAGCAGTAGTCGTTAAATATGGTACACCTTGTACTAAAACCGTCATTTGCAAAATGTACTTCATTTCCTCTTCTGCTTCTCTCTTGACTTGCTCTTCATACGCCTGCCTTGTCTCTTGCGTTTCTCTTGGCTGAGTCCTTACCCATTGTTGGTAATTCCTTATGATTTCTGCCACTCTCTCAACATGTACTACTTATATCCATTCTGATCAACAATGGCCACTACAATAGCATTTCGGTGATGCGAAGCACATGTCATGCTTACAGACACTGACCACCACCTGATTAGTCCAGATTTCAGAAACCTGTATGTTGTTGCATTGTTTAAGGGTCTTATTCATGTATCGACAATTAATTGATTTCAGGAACCTATGTTTTAAGGGTAAAAGTTTGCTTGGCTTGATTTTAACCTCAATTACTTTGTAATAGAAAAGAGTAAGAAATTCAACAAAAAAATTTACGACAGCTTGAATATTTCTCGGCTTGTTCATTAATATTTTATTCTCCGAGTAAACCCCCCCCCCCCCCGGAAGTTGATCAGGCCGCAGGGGATTTAAACGCAAGAAACCTCAAGGAAAAATTAAGAAATGCTTATTTATTTTGTTTATCAAATGTAATCATCAGCTTGGTGTTTTAACGATATATATATCGGACAGATAAAATAAGTGATAGCAATCCCTTCTTGTTACTTAGTATTAAAATAATGACTGTAGTTTAGTCAGAAGAAATCTCATTACTGAAGTTACCTACTGACAAGTATCCTATTTTATTTGTTTGATTATGTTTCGTATGTAAATGTCCCCTTTCACCCACATTTTCCGTAGAAAGGGGTACTTTATTCATCATCCTCTACAAGTAATGGTTTGATGCTCACTTGAATGATGAACTTTGAAGTTTTCTTCGCATTTATTGCAGTCATCTTGAATGAAACAGTCATTTACTGTAGGTTGAGTATCCAAATTTTTTTTGAATGTTTTTTTTTCAGTCGGGAAGGTGATGATCGAGTACAAACTGACCAAGTGACTACTGATGAACACACTAGTTTAGAAGCCCGTATTCTGCGTCATTTCACAGAGGAACGTATCGAGGAGTTTCATGCACTGTCTCGAAAACCCGATCTCTATGAACGTCTTATGGCTGCTATCGCACCTACAATATACGAAAATGAGGATATCAAAAAGGGTATTCTTCTCCAGGTTTGTCATATATATATATATATATATATATATATATATATATATATATATATATATATATATATATATAGAGAGAGAGAGAGAGAGAGAGAGAGAGAGAGAGAGAGTCAAATTGTACTACTTTTGAGTATATATTTGTCTGGCCCAATTAGGAAGAGGAAATAAAGCGATCTGAAGTTCTTTTTACTTACCCATGTAGGACAGCGTGTAGAATAATAAAGTGCTGGGGAGGATGGTGCAATTGGCCGAATCGAACTTGTTTACTGTCTACTTAATAAGTGAATATAAAAAAGATAAACAGAAGAAATTAGCAATATGTTATTCTTGTTGTTCACTTATCTTCATAGTGCACAAATGAGGCACGTAAAATCGGTAACTCGTTCATACAAAATACTGTTTCTTCATGTTATACGTTTGAGTAATCACTTACTTCTCTGTCACTACTCTGTCAGTCTCCTTTTACTGTTCACAGATTTCTGTCTCTTCTGACTGTTCACTGTTAGTACTTTCTTCGCCTGTATTTTTTTTTTACCATGTATATAAATAGCTTGCCCACTATTTGGATTTTGAAGTAATTGGGAGTCGTCTGTTATCCACATACTAGGTATTTCGGCGTACTTTCACTATTATCCACCAGATTCATTACCGTATTGTCAGGAGTAGGTTATACCTATGCCGTGTCGCTATAGCTCATATCCTCTTTATCGTATTTTACACTAACTAGTTATCAAAAGCAGTCAAAGGAAATAGTGTCTAACTTCCACACCACAGCTAATACTCCCCTTATCATTCCATCTGACGACCCTTAGCCATCATTCTTTATTACTTTTGGTGGGTGGTCCAAGCAGAATCTGTTATCCTTTCTCACTCCAAACTACTCATGGCTTCTTCAACCTTGTTAAAAGTTGAAAGCCCAGTGATTATTCCACATTCAAGCTACTGCTGAATAGCGAAGCCACCTTAAGGTAACCGAAGACTCGTTGAACCACTTCTCTCTGTGTCCTATCCACCACTTCAGTTGCCCTCCCTCGAGTATATCACTGACCTACCTTTCCTTTGAACAGCCTGTTACCAGAGCTCGGGGTACGGCAAACCTGAGAAAATCGGACACCTCCCAAAGGTAGACGTGCATGTATCGGTCATATTTTCACCCACCAACATTTAACATCATGCATATTTCTTTAGTTGAACCACTCTGCTGTGAATCTGTCTATCGATAGAGATCCTCTCTAAACATCCATGGAGTTGTGGCTTAAGGAGATGACTGTCGGCCATTGGGTCGCAGGTTCGAGCCCACTCCACCTACCGAGGTTTGGCCAGCCTGGTAGTATCACCAACCTTCACATAATAGGTGTTTCTCATTGCCTACTGCACAGAATTACACAAGGTGGGTGAGTGTATTTCGTTTTTCATTCGTTTCTATAAACATCGTTCGATGAAATGGGTTTGCTCCGATGGTGAATGGTTCCACAAAAGGTTCGTTAATAAAACATTCATCATTTAGTGAATGTACTCTTCACAAGGTTTATTCTGTTTTGTCTTCCCTGTTTTCCCCATCACTGCATTCATTTCACATGATTAAAATAGTTTAAATTTAATTTATCTTACACTAATTTGTATTTCTTTAACTTTATTTGCCTACCAATCAACCCTTAGTTCTCAACTTTTATTGTTATTTCCATTTTAACTCATATTGCTGTTGCAGTTATTCGGTGGTACACGTAAAGACTTTTCTTCCAAGGGACGCGGTGATTTTCGTTCTGAAATCAACATACTGTTGTGCGGTGATCCTGGTACTTCAAAATCTCAACTCCTTCAGTATGTGTATCGTCTTACTCCTCGTGGTCAGTACACTTCTGGTAAAGGAAGCTCTGCTGTGGGGTTGACAGCTTATGTTACGAAAGATACAGAAACACGCCAACTGACTTTACAGACTGGTGCACTAGGTTAGTTTTCGACCAGTACCTGATCTTTACACCTAATTCATTCACTCGATGTATATGTAGTCATTCCACAATATCTTATTGCCTAACGTTTCCTATCAGACTTATACAGTTAGCATAAGTTGTCACTCTTCAAGCTTCTGCACTGAAGAGCGAGAGAAGAAACTGTCATGGAACTTCGCACTTATCGCATCATTTCAAATTGTCAAACTTCACAGCAGCATCCAAAGAACAAGTGGACAGAAAAAAAAGGCTGATTTCAAAGTAGACATAAGTGGATGGGAGAGAAAACATTTGTGGATGAACGTTAGTGAAAAGCTCTGAAATTCGTCAAAGAGTGAATACATTTGCGCGATTGTGGCCAATTTTCATACATTTCATCAAGGGTCTCCAACCAGGTAGCCTGCATCTCCCTATATGGATGTGACCAACAGTCAGAGACTTCATGGACTAGTGTTATGTCTTGGTCAGGCCACCGCCAACCCTCCTCTTACCTAATCCAACTTCCCCCAGCATGGCACGTCGGGTGGGTGGTGACTTGGCATACACAGTACATGTCCAAGCCACCTCAGTCGATGAAAGGTCACAACTTCATTATGTTGAAACATGCAGCTTCTGCATCTATTTTCGGACTGAATGTAAGTAATAATAGAAATTGGTTGCTTATTTTATGTTTACGAAAATCGATTTCACATCTCACGTATACCACAAGTATTATTAAATTGCTGTGTGTAACAAAAACCCAAGTTTACAGAACCCTTAGATGCTAGTTTAATAAAGTAAACGTTGATCTCAACTGCAGAAATAAAGGCAAGCAGAAATTTTAGTGACTAACCTCTGTGTTAAGGGCATATAAGGGGAGGAGGAGCTTAAAAACAATATCCATCACCCCTCTTCAAGGATGATAGTGCTTCCTGAAGCTTACTTCATGCTACTTTCAGATCGAAGCAGCCATCGACGCCTCCCTTTCCCCTCCAAATTAACTCTGTTCTACTCATAAGTGAGATTGAGGACATCTGTTTGCAGTTGACCACATAAGCACAATCCTGTCTCATTCATTTTTTTTATAGACTTGAATCCTTATACAAGATAGTTATGTTGTTAGACAGTATTCTGATTAAAGTGATGTCTACTGGTCAGAAAAGTATCACTGTCTTAATCCTCTTTCTTCCCTCAGATGCATTTCGCTCATAAAAACGAGTTCATTACTGCTATGATGAGAATGTTACCGATAGTCTTCACGCTCCTGTTATGTATGTATATATGTATCTAATGAAGTTGTGCTTCACAGGTCTAAGTGAAAAAGTGGGTTCAGAAAAGGTTACTCCATCTATCAAAGTTTTGACAGCCAGTTAATATGAGTTGGTCTCATACAGTAAATGTGACTTATTGTCAGTGCATGAACATACACATGGCTACTAAATAGCATTACTTTGTTCATCATTTTCTTTTGCATATACTCGAAGTAATAAATCCGTTTAACCTTTTTGAAATTATGTGTCCATTCCATTTTAACTTCAGTATTGGCTGACAATGGAATTTGTTGCATCGATGAATTCGATAAAATGTCTGATTCAACTCGTTCTGTTTTGCATGAAGTGATGGAACAACAAACTTTGAGTATAGCAAAAGCTGGAATTCTTTGTCAGCTTCATGCTCGAACATCAATTTTAGCAGCCGCCAATCCGATCGGTTCTAAATGGGATCCTAATAAAACAATTATTGATAATATACAGGTAATTTTTTCTGATCCTTATGGAGATTGTCATTTATTTGTATCAGTTTTAAAAAATTGTCCACTCGTCGCTTAGCCAAGAAACTGAAAAGTATGAAATATGACCTTCAATCATTAACACGTAAGACTTTTAGCTTTGTCAAGTGTAATAACAATGCCTTTTTGTAATCCTTGTGTACAAGTTTACTGTAGTCACCTGTGCAGTAGAAGTTTGTATATCCCTCAGCTCATAAAAAGTTGATTGAGTTTATACAGTCTGATCCAACCTTTTGTGCAAATTATTTTCTTGTGTAATATGAAAATTGAAAAGTATCAGTTGCCGTCAGACAACTAGTAGCATATTCTCTCACCAGTCTGAAACTGTATATTTTTATCATTTCTCCATTGACACGAACTATTTAGTATTCAGGTTTGTGGGGATTAATTGATTTCAGGTTGGTATTCTTCATGAAACGACATGAATTGGAGAATTAATCTAGTTCCCATTGGTGACTAGCTTCGAAAGATGATTCCCGAAGATTCAATGAGTTTTGACCATTGCGACCAACCAAGTCGAACATGAGGACAGTTATTCAATGACGGCATTGGATGGAGGTCGCTCTATCTCATGAACTGACGGAAGTACGGAATACGGAGCATTAGATTCCGACCCAGCGGCTCGTGGTAACTTGCTGACCTGAAGGTCCTGGACTCGACTTCTGGTAGGGTCGTGGGTGCACACTGCTGAGGAGTCCCGTACTGGGACTAAACAATTGTTCAGTGTTACCAGTTCTTCAATGTTTCTCCAACTGATATCAGTCCATGATAAATACCAACCGAAATATTTGGTATTCGGCAAGGTGTGATAAAATTGCTTTATGAAACTCAATGTTTGCTTACTAATTCTGTTTAAAGTAGTTTCTAAGTCTATGCAAAAATCAGTGTAAAGATACCAATATTTCCTAAGTAAACAGATTTTCAAAATCCATGGCCATATCAGCAATGCAGATCTGGTACAATTACTACAATTCACATTACAGCGAAAAGAGGAGAAATCCATGGAAAGTAAGAGGGAATGAATGAAAGCAATATCCGTCCTGATAAGGTTTTCCTCTTTATATGTGTGATTTAGACGCTATATTTACAAATATAATGTATTCCATTCATTAACTTATCATCATTGAAACGCACCTCAACTATATATTATCATTACCATAACTATTATAAGTATTATTATTATTGTTATTATTGTGTACTTTTCAGTTACCGCATACACTACTTTCAAGATTCGACCTCATTTTCCTCATCTGGATCCACAAGATGAAATCTACGATACAAGATTAGCCAGACATTTGGTTGGCTTATATTATCGTGGTACTACACCGAGTCAGGTTGAAAGCAGTCAAGATGTTCCAGCCACAAGTAGTCGAGGCTATCAGACTCGACCAGTAGCTGTTCTGCTTGACATGGATAGTCAGGGCGATGATGATGCATCATTTGTAAACGGAAAACTGCTAAAAGATTATATAACTACGCAAAAGTAAGTATTGGACTGTCTTTTGTTCACATCATTGTTTTTGCCATATTCAGACAAGATATATTTCCAAAACAAACATATTAAACTTCCATTTGTCTCAGTTTGAGTTATGTGGGGGAGATGTAGACTGCCTGGCTTGAGTCCCTGAGACGAAAGGAATCGGTGGTGGAGGACTGTTGGTGACATGTTTGATAATCGGTGACAATGGTGTACTCCTTGACATCTTCGAAACCTTGAATATTTGCACTAAGTATTGTCTTCAGATTGTTTATTCTCTTATACAGCTTTTTCTATTTTAATACTAGTCTTTTCTATCCACCTGTTCTTTGTGTACTTCTGTGAAGTGTAGCAGCTTCAGCCGATGTACTTTTATGCGAGGGTGTACGTTGATTTTGTCAGCGTCACTAAACCTCCTTAACTATCCATTCGATTCCAAGTGTCTAGCTTTGTAATTTTGTGATTAATCATGGAGATTTACTTCCGCGCACGTTTCGGTGACTGTTTCTTGTCTCCCGTTTGCATACTTTGCCATAATCTTGTGGAAACTGTCATACTTCTCCTCAAAACATCAGAATACAATCGTTTAGATATAACTACCAGTGACTTCAATGCACATAAAATGCACCTTGGTTAGGAAGTCAGGGTTAGTTTGTGCTCTCAGAATTCCTGCTGTATAAACTATAATAGTGGTAATTCGTGTTGGGACCATTGAGATATTATTAAATTCAATGGTCACCGAAACTAATTTGATGATAAACTGGGATGTTATATTTTGCTTCTAAGCACTGTTGAACACGTTGTACCTCACCTCTCTTCGCTGGACTTGATTTCTGTCTCATATTTGCATCTAAAGAGATCTGAAGGGTTTCTTTTCTACTTGGAAATTTTAGTAATTGAGAAACTTTTGTAGTTGAAATAACTAGAGAGTTTTCAGGACATATTTTCTCTGACTTAAAGTTGTTCGCTATGAGAACAAAGTTACCAGGATTGAACCAGAGTCAACAAACGCAACTACTACTTTGAAATCAGCTGATACTTGATGACTTTTTCCAGCAGCTTCTGGATTCATGACCAGAAGCAGTTAACTTACCGATTATAAACAGTGAGTGGGATATTGAATCTACCAGAAACTCATAGGTTATCAAGATTCGGTAGTAGCTGTTAGTTGCATTAACTTATCAAAAAGATCAAATGAGAGTTAGTGCAACTAGAATGCAAAGTACATGAGTTGGTCATTCTTTCACTGAGATGGCGTAAAGCTTTTTGGAAGAGCAAGATAAACTGATGTATATGCAATTTAGATACTGTATGAATACCAGACCTGCTTATCAATATATCTCCGTTAATTTAAAGCGTCAGAGTTACAATTGCTTACAGTTCTTACTGAATTATTATCAAGGATAAAAATAAATGGTTTATTAGCTTATTATTCGGAAAGAGAATGAATAAAGATTGATAATACCGAACAATTTAGCGTATTCATTTGCTGGTGAAGTAATGATTTTCCAAACGTTCACCATATACTCGTTTAATGTCAGGATAAACAATCATTTTACGATAATCAGAACACAGGATGACTGATCACTAACTACTCTTCAATGAAGTTTAACATTTCTAAGAAACATACAACCGGAAATATACGTTCTTCATCAATCATGATCATTGTTCAGTTGATGAATGCAAGTCCCCAACGGAATCAATTTTAACTTCTGGTCATTGTGTTATCAAATTTTCATGCTATTTCAATATTTTCTATTCAGCATTCTAACTAATTTCGATTCGTAAAATAAAAATTGTTTATTTAATTTTCTTTAGATGAAGTATCATCCTAAATTAACTGAAGAGGCTGGTGAGTATTTGGTTCGTGAATACGTGGAAATGCGAAAATTAGGTTCAGGCCGCGGACAGGTAACATGAAAGTCGATTTTTTGTCTTATGTTATTTATGTTCGTACTTAATAATTAAAAAAAAATAGAGTTTATACCTACTTTTCAATCAACTTTTTAAACAATATGAACAGTTGATCCCATATGAAATGTTACTTCAGAGACTGCATACAGATTTGTGCACAAGACAATAGGCCACACCTATTATGTGAGTGCTCTTGATATCACCTGGCCATCCAGTCGTCCTCCTTTTTAACTGTTCATTTTGACTTTGTAGATGACAATACTTATGCATGATATAACAGATTTTTAGGGAAGTTACTATCACAAACGCCCAAAGTCATAGTGTTATTCCCGAAACTACTCTGAGTAAAGTTCGCTGTCATTATTCAGTAGCAATAGGTTTTACAGTTAACTTATGAAGTAACTGGTCTTGAATCAATAACAATTCAGAATTTCAAGTTGGTATTCATCGTAGACTGACATCAGTTGAAAGAACAATGGAAATTTGGGAGCACTCGACGGCTGTCTCGTCCTAGTATGGGACTCCTCAACAGTGCGCACCCACGACCCCGCCTGGGATTAAACTGGTGACCTTCAGGTTTCGTGGTCAGCACGTTACCATTGAGCCACTGGGTCGGGACCCAATGGTCCATACTTCCAACTTCTGTCATGGTCGTGGGCGCGCATTGCTGAGGAGTCCCATACAGGGACGAAACAGCTGTCCAGTGCTCCCAGGTTTCCATTGTTCCTCCAACTGATATCAGTCTACGATGAATACCAACTTGAAATATTTCTAAATCCCCACAACCTCCTCCAAATTCTATTCATGTTTAACTGAATTTCTTACTACAATATATCAAATTTATCACCTCATAGCTATTTAATATGTTCTATCTAAAAGAGGAAGGCAGAAACACACAGCCACTTTGTGTCCATCTGTGCCCCGGGCTGCCCACATCTCAGTAGGTTGAGCGAGTTCGATCCCACGACCCACTGTTTGAAAGTCATCTCCCTAAGACCGCTGAGCTAATGTGCTATCTAAAAAACCAGAGCATAGCATGGAACTCATTTCAGTCTTCTAAGTGTTCCACTGACTCTATTGTTTGTCTGTCACTTGTCTGTATTTTATTCTTCTTCTGTAATATTTGCATCGTATCTATATCTTTATACTTAGAGAGATGTACGGGAAATTATAGCTACTAACCCCTACATAAGGTTTTAGGCTATGAGTAGTTTAGTATGAAACAAGTTAGACTATTCTAGAGACAGTACAGTCGTATTTAAAGACTATTCGTCACGTTTTAACAGCCCACACAGCTTCTTTTTAATTGAATATCATAACGATCAAAAAAATTTGCGTATATTCTTTAGAAACAATCATCATACTGTTTTTCCTGTTTATTCAACTCAGATCTCTGCATATCCTCGTCAACTTGAGTCACTTGTGCGTTTAGCTGAAGCTCATGCTCGTTTACGTTTATCAAATCAAGTCACCGCTGATGATTGTCGTGAAGCGCGGCGTTTACAACGAGAAGCTTTAAAACAAGCTGCTATCGATCCAGCTACTGGTATCATCGATATCAATATCTTAACCACAGGTATGCATTTATGTAATGTGTGTGGTTCTTATTGCATAGCTGTGTGAAATTGACTCACTCAGACTGCGTGTGAGGTTATCCAGTTCATTGTGTAATACACATTGAATAACCACCGAAATTTCTTCTTTTCAAAACTCAACAGTTTATGTCAATAACTCCTCTTCACATTGAACGTAGATTCCTCATTCGCCAATGTAAGCTTTCAGCATTCAAAACATAAGATCTATCTTCCTTCCATGACTGATATCTCATCTGCTTGCCTGATAGCTACTTACCTTCTGGTACCGTACTTATCCCTATCATCTCAGGGGGCAAGACGATGAACAAGTGGATATAAAAGGAGTGATATCAAAGTAGACAAAAAAGTTCAAAAATGAAGGTTGGTGAAAATGTTCAAAGTTTAGAAAATATCAAAGGGTGCATACATCCACTTTATTGTATCCCATTTCCGGTCATGTCATTAATTAATTCCTATCATCTCGAGGAATTCTCGCCTCCCTACACAGTTCAGATCAATGGTCAGAGACTTTAGTGACTGGTGTCCACGTATTGGTCTGGTCACCCAGAGCCTTCTTCCAACCTTATCCAACTTCCGCCAGCATTGCGTGTCGAAATAGGTGGTAGTTTGGTATGCGCAACGTATTTTCAAGTCATCTTAGTCGATGAAAGTTCACAACGCTGATGGACTTGTCTTTCCCGTCTAGTGCCCTGCTTCTAACGTCGACACGGCTCATACAATGATTCCACCAGGTACGAGCAATGCTACAAAGACACCTATGGTCAAAAACCTGTGATCCCTTCATATCATCTTTCAGTGACCGTATCTTATAACCGTATTGTCGGACGGAATGGACTACAACTCGACATACATGACTTCTAACAGGTAGTTGGATATCTTGCTGGCAACAGATATAATGTGATTTGGCGATTTCCAAACCGACCGTTTTCATTCGAGCTGAGATTTTGTCAGCAACCTACTTTTTTGGGCTGATGCAACTTTCCGAATAAGTGAAGTATTCAACAGGTTCAATCATTTTACACCTTATCCTTAAACTCGAAGTAATTGTTGGTCCTATGCTTCATACTCGGAATCCAAGCAGGTACTTCAGGAAGAGTGACAATCCTCCACCAATCCTTGTCAACGATTGTTCATAGCAATGTGATTTATATGTGTCCTCTATGCAAGACAGTGTCTCTGTGCTTGCAGTTGGTGCTGGTTAGAAACGGTTATCGAAATAAAATTGCAAGTGCCCACCGGTGTAGGTTCGTTGGCATGAGATACCGTAGATATACCTTCAAGATGCTTTGCTGATTGGGTCACCTCCTCTACTATTCTGACTATATCTGAGTGTTTTGGTTTATGTAGCGAAATTGACAGCTTTTGATATAATTCATGTTTTGCATCATCCGGACTGCAGCTATTGGGTGCGTAGGCGATTACGAATAAGCACCAGGTACCTTCATGTTCCTTCCTAGTTCTTACAGATCCATTCAGTTGAACAACGGACAGATGCTGACTAATGTTCAGTGAAGTGTGCCTTATGCTCTAGGATTTAATACTATATCTACACCAGTATGTCCACGTGAGCTAAACATTGAATCACCAGATACTTGTGAAGCAAATTTTTCTGATTCACTGCATTGGTCAGGTGATATTAAGTTAATAACCACATTAGGGTCTGTTTAAGTGTCTCAGAAACACACGATGCATTCATGTTTCGAAATTTTAAAGTTATATCGAGTTTTGCCTGCTATCGGATTCGGCATATTGTTTGGACTTTGAAACTTCCAATCGGAACTAGCTGCTTGGTGTTAGGGGACATGGAATAGTAGTTTGCAGGCTAGGAAGTTGGGAAGACTGTAAGAGGCCTAATTTTAGCACCAGGAAGTGGAGTCAAGGAAACGAACAAAGGTGAAAAAAGTGTGGGTTGTGGTTGATTAAGTTTTGTTTGCTTCTGCAACGTACTCGAAAAAAGTGGACTAGTGCTGCCTGATTGTGAAGTTCGTGGGTTATTTGCTTGATAGCCGGCTACACAATACATTTTGGCAGGTCTGAGACTTGATTTCGTTTGTTTGTATTGAATATAATTAAAAAACCGATACCACCAACACTAAAAACTACAGGGTCAAAGTTGGTGTGTTATTTTAGGGACCAACGTCTTCTAATCCCTCCTTCCCAACGGGAGGCAGCTTCAACATAGACTGCTGGTTATGCTCTGGAAACACATAACTCCTGTCAAACTTCTTCCAGTCCAGCAGTGCGAATTCGCCATCATGGTATAGCTGTTAACACAATGACGGTAATTACTTTGTCCAGCAGTCCTTCGTGGTATAACAACTAGGAATAAATGTTCCCATCAGAATAACTCTGGGTCACTGTGATATGAAAGCCTGACAGCCATGTCCAGGTAATAGCTATCTTCTAGGACACCGTGTTGGTTCTAGAAAACTGTCACGAGTGAAACTCGTATCAGACAGTTATCATTATTATTATTTGTCCCTTGGGTTCCTAGTGGAACAAAAGTCTTCAGTAACACGTCTCCAGTGACCTCTGTTCTCTGAGATCTTTTGAGCCTGACTCCACGACAGCCCACAAGCTCTCATTTCCTCCTCGCACGATCTCCTCCATATCACCCTCACATCGGACGCCTAACTAGTCGCTTCCCATCGGGGTTCCACTCGAGGGCCTGATCTGACACTTGATGTCCCCAGTCTGCCTTCTCGGTGTATGCCCAATCCATTTCCACTTCCTTCCAGTGCATATTTGTTGAGCGATAGCTTCTTGCTTAGTTGGTTCGTTGTCAGTCAGCCAGAGTTCCTTGTTGCTTATTCTCATTATTCTGGCCATCTGATATTCAATAGTGAGCCAGAGTAGGCAGTTGTTGATGAATGTCAGTAGTTTGTTGGAAATGCTTTTCGTGAGGTGCCAAGTCTCTCAGCCATACAGAAGCACTGATTTGACGTTGATGTTGAAAACCCGGATCTTGTTCCACATGCTGAGTGGAGTGCAGAAGATCTCGAGAATGGTTTCAGGCTAATGAACGCCTGTCTTGCTTTTCGTATCCTGACTGGCTTTGACGTCCTCGTCTATGCCTGTGCCGCCTGTAGTTGAGGGGCTGCTGCCTGGATGGGTGGAGGAGACTACTTCCTTTAGGTTTCTCCCGTTGATGGTGACTGGAGTTTGTTGTTGGTTGGGTATCGTCATTACCTCTATCTTCTCTATATTCACTTGAAGCCACTCCCGTCTTCGCTGCCCTGCCCTGCCTCTTCTGTCAACTTGTTAGTTTTCGGCTGTAGATCTTCAAGTTTGTGTGACATCAGACACAAGTCATCACTGGCGAAATCCAAATCTTCTAGGTTCTTTTCTGCGGCCCAGCATATCCCCCTCTTCTTGCTCCCCACTGTTTGCTGCATGATCCAGTCGAGTCGACCACGATCAGGAATATTATGGGTGATAGTAGGCAACCTTGTTTCACTCCTGTCTTCACTTCACTTCGAAGGCATCACTGAGCTTCCCATTGTGAATAACTTGGTATGTGGCGTCTTCATATAGTTGTTGAATGAGGCTGATAAAGGTTTGTGGTATTCCGTAGTATTGAAGCAACTGCCAAATTACTTCTTGGTCGACGGTGTCGAACGCCGGCCTTTTCAAAGTGGATGAAGCTGAGGTAGAGAGTTGATTGGCATTCTGTGTTCTGTTCTATGATGATGAGTAGTGTAGCGTTGCAATTTGGTCCGCACATGATTTGTACTTCCTGAATCCAGGCAGCCTGTTTCGTTCTTAGTTTTGAATCCAGTGCATCCTTTAGCCTCTCGAGGATGATGCGGCTTAATATTTTGCTTGCTGTGGTTGGACATGAGCGTGATTCCTTGCCAGTTCTTGCAAAGACTTAAGTCTCCCTTCTTTGGGAGTTTGAGAAGGTAACCCTTGTTCCAATCTGCAGGTACCTTTCCTTCTTTCCAGACCTTCTGCAATAGTGGTGTAAGCATGTCCGATCAGGCAGATAGATCAACCTTAAATCTGACAAAAAGTGCATCATTTCAAGTTACTATACTTCATAGTTAGATGCATAGGATTGGAGAGGAAAAAAACTATATCCTTATAGACAATGTAAAAGGGAGCCGAAGATAAATTGGTTAAGGTTACTAAAAATGTTCAGAACTTTGGAAGTGATCAAGGGTCTATGTATCAGCGCCAGTATAGTCGATTTTCAGCCTACCAATCATTGATTCTTAGTATCTCGAAACCAAGCAGTCTGAATCACAATTCAGGTTAAATGAACCAGTTTTAGTGTACTTAATAATTGCAATGATTAGCATTATGGCTTTTGTACATATCTTCAGCAGCTTCAATCAGACTGCTTACCGTAATAGTTCAGCAGGTAACTTATTCCTCTGAAAGTTACCAGTTTACTTTTTTTTTACAATTAAACGTTTTGTTCCGCACCACTGAATAGCCTCATTTGAACTCAGCTTTAATCTATTTAGGCCACAAATTTCCTAGTTTCCGTTGTGTTCCATATTACGTGGAACTGCCGTTTCATTGTTCCTTATCTCTTACTATGAATAATTTGTTTTTGTCAGCTTGTCCCATATGTATACTTGTGTCAACAATAAGTCTTATCTCTTTATTTCCTCACAATTCATTATCAACAGGGATCAGTAGTAGTGTGCGTAAACGACGCGAAGAAATGGCAATGGCAATATGGTCTCTTCTTGAGGAGCGTCCACGTGTGCTCACTTTCGTTTATTCTCGTGTACTAGAAGAATTACGTGCACGTTCCGAGCGTATGATTACACGTGAAAATTTCGAGGATGGATTGAATTTTTTGAAAAACACCAATAAAATTGATTGGGCAGGGAACACAATACGCAAACGCTAATCACGTGTCAATGTCTTTTGCACAGAGAAAAAATTTTCGTACTTATTGTAATTTTAATAAAGTGTCTATTTCTTTACTTGCCTTGTCATTTACTAGTTGTTATCGCTTGTGTTACATCCTTTTCTTATATACTGTTAGAAGAGAATAATTGGATAGACTGGCTAAGCCTAAGCTCAAGGTCAACCATTAGTAAAGATGCTCTGATGGACCTGACTGGCTGAAAAATTAACGTAGAACCTCACATACGAGTGCACTGGTTCAAGTTGCCACACTTCACAGTAGTACACAAAAACAGGTGGATAGAAAAAGAGTGATGTCGAAGAAGACAAAGTAGTGTGAGAGAATAAACAATCCGAAGATAACGGTAAGTGCGAATATTCAAGCTTTAGAAGATGTGAAGGAGTGAATACATCTGTTCCATTGTGATTGATTTTCAACCATGTCACCAAGTGTCCTCAACCGGTTTTTCTTTCGTCTTGGGGAATTCAACAAGGCAGTCTACGTCTCCCCCACATGACTCAGACCAACAATCAGATAATTCATTGACTGGTGCCAGGTCTTCGTCTTATCACCGTACGGCCCCTCCTAACTCCATTCAGCGTCCCCCAGCATGGCACGTCGAGGTAGGTGGTGGCTTGGGATGCGAAGTATATGCCGAATCCACCTCAACCGATGAAGGTTCACAACCTCATCATTCCACTTGTCTAGCAACCTACCTCTGACTTTAGCATTGCTCACTCGATGATTCCACCAAACTCAAGCAATGCTACATAGACATCTACAAACGAACACCTGTAAACGTCTCATACCTTCTAATTTTAATGACCATGTCTCACAGCCGCACAATAGGACGAAGTGGACTGGGGCGCAGTATATTCGTCCTGTGATGGATAGTCTGGTATCTTGCCAGCCAGCACCGTGGTTGAGGCAGTTTGGCAGATGTGGGGCGGGCCTTCTACTCCTAATCTTAGATTTCGTTAGCAACCAACCCGTTCGGGCCAATCCATCTCCCCAAGTAAGTGAAGCAGTTGACATATTCCTCCACTTCACTCTCTATCATTAAATTGCAGCAGCCCGGTTTTAGAGCGTCATCTTACATTTGACAGGTGACAGCAAAATGCATGCCAAACACATTCAGATTTCTCAACACGTTCAGAGTACTCTGGATTACGTCAGCGTTTTCATCTAGCATGACAATATCGTCTGCATACTCTAAGTCAACCAGTTGACCTTCAGAGAGTAGGCCAATCCCTGAAAGTCAGACGTACCTAGGGTTAAGTTTATTAGTACATTGACAACGATGTCAAATAGGAACGGTGACATTGGGCATCCTTGGCAGACACCACTAGTTGTCGTCAATTCGCATGACAACTCTCTATAAGCCCTTATATGACTGCGTGAGTTTGAGTACAGAGCTTAGGTTAGCACTCGGAAATGTGTGACTCTCCCAGAAAACAGGAATGGGAAGGCGAGGTTTATTTCTCCGAAACAAACAAAATCAACTGAAAATATAACTATTCATATACTCATTTTGCTGAATCAATAACTTCGAAATTTAGTGCAGAGGAAGTGACTGTTTGACATTGATTAGAAATGAACTTATGAAATATCAATGTCAGTACCCATGATGAAGGTTAAAGATGACTGTTTAGTGCACATCTTACACTGAAAAACGCTAATCAATTTTTTTTCCTGCCCATTCTAATAGTTTGCATAAGATAATCCGAACATATGTTGTGAAGTATGCCCTTAATTCAGTTTCATTTGCCGTTAAATTTGAAGATTATTTATTCTAGCAAAGGAAATATACTTACATTACTTGTAGAAAGTAGTTACTAAAATATCTAATACTTTAATTTGTCTTTCAAATCTAATGAGGTTATCGATAGCCATGATTCCAGTATATGTATAGATAAATTCAACAAGTAGTGTACAGTTCGTTGTATGTGAACGACTCATTTCAGAACTATCCTGTCCATGAGATGCTGCCTCATGTTTTTATGCGTCTGTAGGGATTAGTAGACAATGAGGGAAACTGATTTATCTCTTGGTCTGATTCTATGCACTTCTTAATCACTGAACATAGTCACTAAACTGTTGACAGAACTCCTAGGGCCTGTAAAAAGACAGGTTTCTAAAGACTCCGTATCACATTGCAACTCACTGTCTGCATAAAACCTGTAAATGTATATGAGAAATGCATGTTAACACTGGTTCATTATCCACAAATGTTCCGCTTACGGAAGCTATTTATTTCATGTAGAGTACCTAGTTATCTCTTGAAAGTCGTTACTAAGTTACATGTATAATCTTTGGTTAATATGTCGTGGTATAATTCATAGACAGCTTCCATAAAAAGACAAAAACTAGCTCAAAATGTAAATATTTTCATAGTCATTTGACTGGGACAATAAGTGATAAATTTATTGTCGAAAGGTTGTTTCAGACACTGGTAACTTGTGTACCAACCTTGGTCAAGTGCGAATATTCAGGTCACATCTTTACACTGGGAACACTTACCCATCAGGCATCTGTCTGTTCTTTCTAACATTCTTCCTTTTAGTGTCGTTAAACTCTCTTTGATCTTCTGGGTTGTTTTTCTACTTGTATTTGCGATGATCGTCCACTTCATTTTGTCGTCCACAATTTTCGTGGGTAAGGTTTCTTGAAGCTGACTGTTCGCATCAGGTGAACTTTCAGGCTTTTTAAGGTGGTTTTCATGTATCAACCAAAGCACCCCTTTAACTCCCACCGTATATGTTACAGGTATCGTTTTGTCTTCTGAATCCGGCTATTCATGTTGGTTTGATGAACTGAAAATCACGAACCTAGGTTTTCCATGAGATCAGTGTAATATCCGAAGCTCTATTAAGCTGAGGGTGAACATTTAAAAGAACTTTTATATATTTCCTTTTGTTCATTACTTATTTGAAACAGTAAACACTGCTTTGATTCCCATTCTGCAAATTGACTTTTATCTGCATTTACATTGATTTGAATAAGCAGCATCAGCATTAGATTTGCAAATTCCTTTTTTTATATCCGTATGTTTGGCATTTTCTGCATTTAGCTATTTATATGGACTTATATTACCATGCCCCACAGAACCAACAACTAGTTGGAATCTTCTTGACTGAGGAAAGCTGGGAAGAATTACGACTAGATTTAACTGCATACATTTCACCAAGTTCAGAAGTACTTTTTTACATGATGTAGAAAATTTCTAGCTCGGGAGGATAATTTTGCCGGTGTTGTGTTCTCTGAGCTAGATGATTTAATCGTGGAGCTTTCGTTGTCATTCTAGACAACGTCAGTAGCACAAACTTGGAGAAGAAGTGAGTCTAACAGAATAAATAATTTGACAATCTCTCCTGAGCGCTCTTTTTTGGCAGTGTTGATCTCTATTTGAGTGTTTTCCCTCTCTTTGTAGATATCATCCTTTTCCCTAACCTGTGTAATATTATTTTGTCATTTTCGCGTCTTTGACATAACAATTATCATTTTTGTTTTGATTGAGACTTATCCTTAGTGCTCCATTTTGTTATTGTGTGATGCTGGAGTATTTAACAACTTGGCATTGTTTCATTGTTCTCGACATTTTTGTTTCGCTCAACTCACCTGTACAGTGGAGTGACTGCTTATACTCTGACTGTCTACTCGAAACGTTCACTTCTTGATTTGATTCTTGTGGACAGAATTTTGATCCCTATTTGTTGGGAATATTCTTGTTGATCCTCAGGAATCATTCTTTTTTTCACTGTATAGTATGTAATCTGTACCAGAGAAACCTTTGGACTGTATAGTTTCCCAGCGGCATTGTTGAGGTACTTTTGTATTTTGTTTAATAGTACCACTGATTTATCACGTCAAATCGTGTTTTGATATTGTTGAAATATAATCTTTGACTGTACGTGACTCAAGGAAGCTTTCGAAAGTATAGAGAACAACGCAGTATCTTGTCTGGATCCTGTTCACTTTGTTCCACTAAACAGTCTCCTGCGTTCAGACCGAAATACTTGGATTTTTGTCGTAACAATGAGCTATAAAGATTTTCTCCACAATTTATTTAGTAGCTCGTCCTGATAGTCTTGTGTGTGATTGGGTGTTCATGCCAAGGGTCTTGTCACTGTCTCAATGTTTATCTTGATTGGTTGTCTTGATGACCTGAAATTTGACCTTCTAGTTGTTTCTTATTGGTTGGGTCAATGTCAAAACGTCTGTTGATTGCTGACTGACCTAAATAAAAAGCTTCTAAAAATTCTCTCATCATCATCAATATCAACATAGGACCAGGCATTACTGCGTAACGGTAAGAGTTGCTACATCTCATATCAGTACATCAGGTAGAAAGGTAGTAAGGTGAAAGATGAAGATAAGAAAATTCAGTCGAAAGAAATATAAAGTACGAGAAGAAAGAAAGGAAGAATGACAAAATGGTGAGATTCGGTATAGCCTCGTTAAGATAAGGATAGTGTGTGTATACATCTGCACTACAGACATTGGTTCAAAGTCATGTGATCAACTAGAGTCTCCAACCACTGGTTTCTCTTGTCCCGTGGACCCCAACCACCTACTCTGCATCCACCCACATGGCTCAAACCAACAGTCAGAGACTTCATGCATTGGTGCCATGTTTTAGTCTGGCCACCTCGGGCCTTTTTCCAGCCTGGGCCTACTTCGGCCCACATTGTGTAACAAGGTAATCGGTGACTAGGCATACGTAGTACGTGTTCCAACCATCTCAGTCGATGGAAGTTCATAACCTAGTCAACTAACTTACCTTTTCTCCCTAAAACTCTACACCTGACTTCTGCATCATTCACTTGGTGACACCACGGAATACGTCCTATACTACGATGGCAACGGTGGTCAAACACCTGAAGCCTTTTTATATCTTCCACTTTCAATGGCCATGTTTCACAGCCATAGAGTAGAACAGATCGGACTGCTGTGCAGTATACGCGATCCTTAGTAGTCTAACGGGTATCACGGCGGCACCA